TGTTTAGTGTTCTGTGTTTGTACTGGATGGACGTTATGGGATGGACTCAGACTGCACCTTTGGGTATTGTGATTGATCATTTCAAGGAGACTGGGGGAGGCTTTAGAGCTCCCTCAGGGGTTGGGAAGTTGTTAGGAATTGAATGGATTGTTTAAACTCTGAATGAATGTCTGGTGAAAGTGTGCGAGTGTGGAGGGAGGGGGACTGCCCTCCCCCCTCCTTTGTGTGGCGGTCGGGCGGCCGCCTGAGTGAGGGTCTGTGGAAACAGGTCACCCCCTCCCCAAGTAAATGCGTCTGGGATTTCTGTGCATGTGTAAGGAGAAAAGCTGGCTTAAAATTAATGTGCGCACCGTCCCATTTTGGATAGGGTTTTAAGCTAGCGTCTCCTTTCAAATGTGCAGGATAAATCTCAAGACTAATCCATAATAAAGAACAGTTTTTCCAAAGGGAAAAAAATAAAACAAAAAAACTGGTCCTTTGTTAATTAAGAAAGCTTTTCTTAATGGAGGGAGGAGATAGTCGCCTCCTGCCTGCAGCAAAATCTTAAAGAATGTGGTCAATTTACATCTGAAAAGACCAGGGAGGCCAAAAACCTGTCTTGCAAGGCTCGAATGTGGTTCTCCAGAGCCGCTTGAAAGTAAAAAGTAATTTGCCTCATGAAAAATCTAGAAGACAGAATTAAATCTGTTGGTTAAGTATTGAGAAATGAAATCTAGAAAACCCTGCTTTCCTTAAACTAAGGACAATTAAAGGTTATGTCAAAGTCTTTAAAAGGATTTCAGGTAGAAACTGTGGTTTCATACTGATCTTAAAGGGCTCCAGTTACCTTGCCAACTCAGTGTTTGGGAGACCCAGGATATGCCTAAGTTTAACCTAGGTTCTAGATAATGTGTTTACTTAAATATGTATCTTTGTTGTTTAAAATTGTTTAACTAGTGCTAATCACCTAAAAATTAAGGCTAAAAGTTCTACCTGGAAAGCATGGCCTTGTTGTGATAGGAGGAAAAAGAAATGTTAAATGGATGGTAGACCAGTGAGCTGGGACTGGTCACTAATGGTGGATTGTGAGAAGGACTGGACGTGGCCTAACTTCTCCTTCCTTGGTACCCCTGAAACGTCAGAGGGTACTCCTGGCCTTGGTTTTCCAATGTGTTTAATCTGTCAATTTTGTTGTTTAGCCGAAATCCTCTTGAATGACATTGAATGATTCTTTCCTTCCTCTTTATTTTTTGGGGGATTGTGTGAATGGATTAATGGCTTCTAGATGGTATTTATTCACCATCTCTGAGACTTCCAGAGAGAAGTCAAAACTCGGACTGGCTATACAACTGAAACTGATTTGTTGGTATTTTGTGGTATAAATGTGGACCGTTTCTATCTGGATGAGACATAGGTCAAAAGTCCTGTCCTAGGATGTGAGAAAGGGAGGCCTCCACATCTGTTCTTGTCTGCTCACGATCCCAAGACTGTAAAGGTACTTGTTCACTAAAAGGGTGTAAGTGTAAATGTTTATTTGATGTTTGTATGTCTACTTGGGTATAATTATTTGTTCATGTAAATGTGGAAGTACATTCTGTGCTAGGTTGGGATTTTGGAATTCTGGGGTAGATTTAAAAGGTATTTGTGGCTTTTCTAGTCTGATTGGGACATTTAAGGGTGGGGCTCACAGTTCCTCAGGGCAGAGATTCCATGGGCCCTTCCCCCTGCCTGTGCTGAATTAAATAATACAGGCCAGTGTCATTTAGCTTGCTGGTTAAAGGAAAACAATGGGCCTTAGAATCTGTAAAGGTGGGCGGGAATGAAGCTGGTAAGGGTTTGGTACCTGTTGCTGCTAGCAAAGGAGGGGCTGATACCCACTTCTAGCGCACTCCCTTGAAAGAGGCCTGGTTGCTGCTCTGCCACAAAGGGAACTGGTAGAAAGACAAGAAAGCAGAGCGCTGTAACTGATAAACAGGGTTACCTAGAAGCCATCAGGACTTTGAAGTTCTTCAAGAGAGGAGGAATCTGACTCAGAGACTGGCCAGGACTGGGTGGCTTTTCTTTAACAATCTCTTTCCTTGAGAGGGCTCCAGAGGGCGCACGAGGACATTTGGCCGTGCCTCCGCGCCATCTACGAGACCAGCCCAACCCCAACTCCTCATCAGCACAGACCAGGAGATTGGGTCTACGTCAGAAGGCACCACCGGGAGACCCTAGAGCCACGTTGGAAGGGTCCCTACACTGTGGTGCTGACGACCCCCACCGCTCTCAAGGTAGATGACATCACGACCTGGGTCCATATCCATCCATGACCCGGAAAGACTTCATCACCAAATGGAGCATCGATCGATTGAGATCAACGCAACCCGCTCAAGCTCAAGCTACGGCGTCCTCGACCTGCCTGATGCCGGTAACATGACTCGCGATCACTCCTGTCCTGTCACCAGGAGCCCCCACAATACTGTGTAATACACTTAGATAATGCCTGCATCTTCATGGACAAGGCTCCAAAGAGACAAGGACCATTTATAGGATCACATGTTTAGTAGATGATGTTATATTAACCTTTGATTCTTTTGCAGGTTTGAATGTATGTTGGCTGTCCTGGAAGGGAGCTGTGTGGGGTGACCCCCAAAAGTAAAGGGTGCCTAGCTGCCAAGAGGGCAAGTTTCCAACTGGGCAGGGAACGGTGCCCATCAGGTTTTGGTCTCTGTTGAGAGACAGCTAACAGTTGGCAGCCTGTAATACTGTCTTGCAGGCCTGAGTCACCATGCCCATGTCAGGGGTAGTAAAGCTGGAAAAAGCCTGTTTAGAATAGAAGGTCTGAGGCATAGTTATGCATAGAAAGAAGGTTTTATACCAACAGTTACTGTTTTGTTTTAAATCCATGAAAAGGAATTAGCAAGGAAAGTCAGAAAATCTTAGAGCAGATCAGTATGTTTTTCTCCTTATGTAATTCCTCCGAAATCTGGCAATGCTAAATAAGTCATGGCAAACATCAGGCTTTGCATAGATACAATAAGACTGATTCCTAATAGTGGTTTTATTAACGGAAAACTTTGACTGGAGTATCATGTTTTAAAGAGCCCTGTCTGAACTCTAAAGACTTGAAGCCAGTAAGAATGCCACGAAGAAAGCCTGGTATCCTGCTTGGGAGCCCTGAAGATGGCTGGCGCTGGAGCGTCAGGCCCATGCCCTACCATCACTGGCGGTTGGTCAGAGCAGAAGGGGAGCAGTAAAGATGCCTCTGCATCCCTGCGGAACCCCCACACACACTGGGCCGCAACGAGTAGGAGGGCTACTGAGATGGGCCTTAAAGCCTGGAGCGTGGGCTCAGGTGGAGTTGCTACAGGTGAGGGATTCACCTAACGCAGCAGATACAGCAGGCAGGCCTGATGGCAGCTGGATGGCTTGGCTTCCTGGCCCTACGGGGCACATTAAGGTTCAACCATGAAATTCCAGCAAAGGTAGTCAGTTACCATTCTTGTTGTGTTTATGCAAACATCAGGACAGTAGATAAATTAATCTTGATTTGGCTTTTTGATAGCCATGGAGGAGTTTTAAGAAGAAAAATCCTATTTCAATAGAAGTTGTTAAATCTAAAATGGTTTCTTTCCCTTCCACCGAACCATTTGTTAAGCTTATAGGGATAGTTCAGTTGATAGTTCTGTGTGCCCAGTATGGGCCTCTAGCAACGGTGGAATAGAAATGCAGTCCGTCTCATGATTGAGCCGGAAGTTCCAAGACAAGGGGGGGAATGAAAGGGCGAGTTGTCGCGGGGCCTGACCACGCTGCTGGTGGCCTCGGGCACCGACTCCCCAGCCCACGGCAGGAGCCCGGCACAGGCTGCCACCCACCCGCCGCCCCCGGACCGGACCCACGCGGCAGCAGCGGCGGCAGGGCGGGGCGCGTGCCCTCGCCGGAGGAGATGGAGGAGGAGGCGATCGCCGGGCCCCCGGGAACGAGATGGAGGACGTGGACTTCCTGTCTGGGCTGGAACTGGTCGATCTGCTGGACCCCCAGCAACCGGACTGGCCCCTGGAGCCCGGGCTCAGCTCGCCCTGGGGGGGGCGAGGACTGTGCCCTCCATCTTGCCCTGGGTCCTCCAGTTTTGGGGCGGTCGCCATGTGCTCAGGAGAGTGCCTTCTTCCCGGAAGCCCAGGCCCCTGCTGGCCACGCCCAGGATTTCTTTAAACTAACCAATGACAGTCAAGGGACGTGCGTGCCAGAGAGATGACCACATCCTGTGTAACAAGACCCGACTCGCGCCTGGCCAATCGGCGGGGCCCACAGTCCCCTCCCCTGCCCTTACTATAAAACCCACAATCCCATCAGGCCTCGCGCTCTCGGCCACTGGGCTACCGTTGCATCGGTGAGTGTGATCGGGGAGCTGAACTAGTTCGAAATGAAGGACTCTTTGCTTTTGCATCGGACGGACGGGCTCCCTGGGGGTCCTGGGAACCTTGAAATCTGGGCACAACACTTCGATATATGTGAATACTGTGAAATGCATTAGCACCCATTCCCTTGTGTATTGCAACTTTTTTCCGTGTGTTGAAAACTTTGAAGATTTATTCTCTCAGCAGCTTTCAAATAACAATACAGTATTAACTATTGTCGCATGCGGTGCATTAGATCCCAGGACTCATTACCACCTTCATCCATTTTACCCGCTTCCAACCCGCGCCCCTGGCAACTACCAGTCTGTTCTCGGTGTCTGAGTTCAGTTTCTTTCTTTCTTTTTTTTTTTAGATTCACATATATGTGAGATCGTATGGTATTTGTCTTCTGCTGTCTGACTTGTTTCACTTGGCATAATAATGCCCTTGAGGTTGACTTCCACTGGCACCAACTCACGAGGCAGGTCAGCCAAGGCTCAAGACACCCTGATATCTGTGTCCACCGGCCTCCACCAGCCCCCACCTGCCCCCAGCAGCCCCCACCTGCCCCCACCTGCCCCCACCAGCCCCCACCTGCCCCACCAGCCCACCAGCCCCCACCAGCCCCCACCAGCCCCCACCTGCCTCTACCAGCCTCCACCTGCCTCTACCAGCCCCCACCTGCCCCCACCTGCCTCCACCTACTTCCACCTGCCCCCACCGGCCAGCTCAGTCGCTAAAAGAGCCCCTGGTGGTGTGTAACTGTGCAAGGTGGGTTCTCAATGAGTCTCCAGGTAGAGGTGAGTGTTGATACAGATTCACCACATTTTTCTTTACATCCTTGAGCATACTTATAAAAGGTGTTTTAAAAGATTTGTCTGCTAATTCCACACTATTTCTGCATGTGATTCAACTGGACCAGTTTTTTTTTGTTTTGCTTATGGAAATGTATTCCCTTTGGGGCATGTTTAGTAATTTTTAATTGGATTTTGAACATTGTGAATAACTTACTGTTGAGTGCTAGATTTTTTGTTTTCTTTTCTTAAAGAGGGCTGGACTTGTTCTGGCATAAAGCTATATACATTTTGAAACGCTTAAAAAGCTTTGCCCTAGCTAGTTTGGCTCAGTGGACAGAGCCTTGGCCTGCGGACTGAAGGGTCCCAGGTTCGATTCCAGTCAAGGGCACATGCCCAAGTTGCAGGCTCAGTCCCTAATAGGGGACGTGCAGGAGGCAGCCCATCAATGATTCTCTCTCATCATTGATGTTTCTGTCTCTCTCTCCCTCTTCCTTCCTCTCTGAAATCAACAAAAAATGTATATTAAAAAAAAAGCTTTGTATGTTGCTCTTAAGAAGTCTAATGCCAGTTTAATTTCCTTGCCTATGTTGTAAGTATTTTATCTTCATGCCTGCAGAATCTGAGGCTTTTTCTTTTGTCTTTAGAATCTAGTGATTTTTCCAAAATATGTCTCAGAATTCATAATGGGTCATTTTCTCCATAAATGTGGTGAGCTGCTTTATTACTTCAGTTTTCTTGCTTCTGGAAAGTTAAAAAACTTAAACACGAGTTTTGTTCCATTGTTTTATTTCTCTTCTTCAAAAATTCCAAGTATGTGTATGTTTAATTTATGTGCGTGTCTGTTTTCTATTCCTATCACATCCTCTCTGATCCCTTTTAAAATGTCTTTATCGCCGAGGCCGGTGTGGCTCAGTGGATAGAGCGTCGGCTTGTGGACTGGGGGGTCCCAGGTTCGATTCCGGTCAGGGGCATGTGCCTGGGTTGCGGGCACATCCCCACTAGGAGATGTGCGGGAGGCAGCTGATCGATGTTTCTAACTCTCTGTCTCTCTCTCCCTTCCTCTCTGTAGAAGGTCAGTGGAATGTATTTAAAAAAAAAAAAATGTCTTTATCTCGGTTTCATTCTTTTGCTGTTTTACTAGCTTTCTCCCATGATTCTCAGTAGACTTTTATTTGAATTCCTTTTTCCTTGGGCACCTTGCAGCTTATCCTTCACTTTTTAGAACCATGTCTCTTAATCCAGTTACTTTTCCGAGTTTGAACAATTCTTGCTGCATTTTCCCCAGGGTTTTACATTTTTTAATTTAATTTTATTTTGATGCTTTCTTTTTCATGTTTCCAACAGAAATCCTTCTTTGGCAGTTGCTGGTGGTCTGGGCCATTTCTTTGATATTTTTGCAACGGTACCGAGTCTGAAAGAGCCTTCATAAAAACGAAATTGTCTTCTGTGCTGAATGAATTTCAAAATGAACATGCAAAACAGTAAAGGAAAGAGGCAAATGAACATTTCTCACTGGAATGTGGTGCAGTGTGAAGATGGTGAGACATTCACTGTTAGAGAAGACCTACTTCTTGAACAAGTTTCGAATGAAATGTCTAAAGCGCTTCCCTTGCATTTACATTGCATACATTTTAGAAAATGGATTTTATATTAAATTCGGTTTCAAAAACTATTTTCGAAAGAATCAAAATCTTTTGAAACTCTTTAGGAATGTGTATGTCATTGAGATCTGTGACCGGGCTCTCTTCGATAAGTTTCACGAACACTTTAATGAAATGTGAATGTACAGCTTCCTTAAGTAGATCATGGGGAACCCATGATGGGCTGGGGACAAGTATAGGATTTTTGCTCCAAAGAGGACAAAAATGGAGCAGTGATTAAAGGGAGTAGTGCAAGACAATTTTTGAAAGATGGGAGAAAAAGCATGTTCCCGATAGGAATTATCTAGGGAACCCTTACAGAAAGGATGTGTAATAGTGACCCGTGAGTTTCCTTGAAATGTTGGATGACAGTAGAGGCAGGGGGTGGGGAGTTAAAATGCAAGTCACCTCCTGAGGGCAGCCGCAAGATGCACCCCAAAACGCTGTGGTTGTGGTTGTGGTTGTGGTTGTGGTTGTGGTTGCCGTGGGCAATTAAGATTCCCCTCACAATTAATCATACCCATTTGCTCAAGAGCCTCAGCTCACTACGCACTGCTTCCTCGTTAGTTACGACTTCTATAGCGGGATGGATGGATGTAAGACCAAGCAGACATGGTTGCATTTTATCTACATGGGAGGTCATTATACATTACCATAGTGGGTGCTGTGTATGTATACACATGATAGTAGTACGTGTGACTATATGATAAATATTATATACACACTAGAGGCCCAGTGTGCACAAAATCGTGCGTGAGTAGCTTGCCTCTGCTTGCCTCAGCTGGCCGCCCTGCCCATCGCCTCGTAGCTTTCCACCACTCATAGCTCTCCACCGTTCATAGCTCTCCCTCCCTAGTAGCTCCACTGCACCCCGCCCCACCCCACCTGCTGTGAGAGCCGCAGCTCCTTTGGTCGTTGGCCACAGGCCTTTTATAATATAGATAATGCATATGTATGAAGTATAGATACATAGTGTGCATATGCATTGTATAGTGATGTTTGTTTGTTTTGTTTGTTTTTTGGTTAATCCTCGCCTGAGGGTATTTTCCCATTGATTTTTAGAGAGAGAGTGGAAGGGAATGGGAGAAATAGAGACATCAATGTGAGAGAGACACATTGACTGGTTGCCTCCCACATGGACCCAGACTGGGCTGGGAACCTGGGGACTGAGTCTGCAACTGAGGTACATGCCCTTGACCAGAATCAAACCCGGGACTTTTCAGTGTTCAGGCCAACACTCTATCCACTGAGCCACACCAGCCAGGGCTGGTCTGAATCTTAATCCAGTTCTGGTCAACTCCAGAAAGTTCTTTCCAATCAGTTCTCCCCTGTTATTCGTCCTAGGGCTCTGGTTTAAGGTCTGTCTCATTGCTTCTGACTTGGATTATTACAAAACCCCTCTTGAGCCCATGTGTCTTCCCATCTGTCATGCATTCTACCAGAATAATCTTTCTAAAAGTATTAGTTTATAAGTCATCTTTTCCACCAGACTGTGTGTTCTTGCTTACTTAGGACATGACAGATGTTTAAAAATATTTGTTCAAATGGGAAACATCTGTCATAGTGTCAACAATTTGAAAAAACGTTTGGTCACTGAAGAATGGAGAAATCAATTAATATTAAATAGTCAATATCTGATGTTGAAATGTTGGCAGACATTTTCCCTACCCCCTTCATCCACCCCGCAAACAAATTTTTTCTTTGTGTCAGATTAAAACCATAGTCTTGGCTTTGTCTAACTCTCAGCATTTTCAGAATTATAACCTAGATTTGGGAGGGCATGGCCCATTTAACTCCCCAAACTGTGTTACTTTGCTCGACAGTGCTATCTCGAAATATAAGCCCTAGTGCAATCCAAGAATTTATTTGGCTGCCAGTGATCCTCTCAAATATCAATAACTGGGTATAGATTTCTGAGGCTATCTGTGAACCATCAAGAACCACAATATTTTTGCCCAGCTGGTGTTGCTCAGTGGTTGAGCATAACCTATGAACCAGGAGGTTAAGGTTGGATTCCCGGTCAGGGCACATGCCCGGGTTGCAGGCTCGATCTCCAGTAGGGGGCGTGCAGGAGGCAGCTGATCAATGCTTCTCTCTCATTGATGTTTCTCTCCTTCTCCCTCTCCCTTCCTCTCTGAAATCAATGTATAGAACCACAATATTCTTGTTACCCAGGTCCATACTCATCACTGAAAACCAAAACAATGCCTCATGAAATACCACGGGAGAGGAAGTAGGTTTTCAGTAAACTTGAAAGCCACATGCATATGGCAGAAATGACTACTTTCATGGGCTAATCTAGGCACTTTCAAAAGAGGGCTGTTAAAAATCAAAGGTCCCGATAAGAGAGCATTTCTGTTTTCCATCTCAGAGTTTCACCAAGCAGTCTCACCAGAACCAGAGGCAGACTGGAGATTAACATCAGATGCTCTTCAGGTAACATTACTCTGTCCATCATTCAGTTCTGAGTCAAATCAGCATATCACCGGCTCCTAAACTTGTGCAACCCTTTTGACGTGCACCCAGGCAGGTACAACTCGGCTCCCTGCAGTCGTGGGAGAAACCTTTAGACATTGAACATGTGTCATGTTCATAGGAAAGTTGCAGGGGAAGTTCCTGCTTGGCTCATGTCATAATATATTCATTTGTTTTGCCCAAACAAGTTGATTTAATTTGGGATTTACTAATTTTCCCTGGCCAAACATGTTGATCAGACTTGATCTGGGCCAAGCAGAAATAGTCCATGCATTTTGTCAGGAACAGAGACAGAAATAAAACTTGTTTGAAGTCAGGTAGCTTGACTAATCACATCAGGAACTTGCTCTGCACTGGTACACGCCCTTCCTCAGAACTTTCAGGTACTCAGACTTAAAATTAAGAAAAGAAAGGCAACATTTTCCATTACAGATAGTTTAATCAGCTCATTGGGGAACATCTAACAAGAGTTAGATATATATCTGAAGCAAGTCTCCATGTATTTATTAACTGTCTCTTACGGACAAGGCACTGAAGAGGAAAAAAAGGGGGGGGGGTGGGACGAAAGAAAAAGACGAAATATCTCCTCCAGGGTGAAGAGTGGGGGGTGTGTGTGGTCGTCTTTCCACGGAGCCCTGTTTCAAGGAGTCCAAGTCAGACTGAGCTTCCAAATGACAGCATCCTTCAAAGTCCCGTTCGCTGAAAAAATTCACTATAGTTGATAATCAAGTTTGTCTAGAAAGCTGTAGAAGAGAAAAAGGCCTAGAAGATGTAGGTGGACAGGCTCCTGTAAGAAGGCAACCAGGACAGGCTGCTGCGAGCCATCGATCCCTCCAAGTCAGAAGTGGTAGGGAAGCAGGGATCAGAGGACCCAACCTGAAGCTGTGAGAAACCCAGGTATAGCTGGGAGGATTCATCCTGTGTGGGAAGGACTGGACCCACCCGAGGGGATGGCCAGCGGGGCCTCAGCCTGGGGCCAAGAACAGAGCTTTATTTTTTTTAATCCTCACCCAAGGATATGTTTCCATTGATTTTTACAGAGAGTGGAAGAGAGAGGGAAAGAGAAACATCGCTGCGAGAGAAATGCATTGATTGGTTGCCTCCTGCACGAGCCCTGACCAGGGTCCAGGCCGGGGAGGAGCCTGCAACCGAGGTAGGTGCCCTTGACCAGAATCGAACCCAGGACCCTTCGGTCCTCAGGCCGGCGCTCTACCCACTGAGCCAAACCGGCTAGGGCAAGACCAGAGCTTTTACATTCTAACTTGGCTTCTCCCCTACACTGTCTTGGGCAGATCACCATGGAAGCAATAGGCAGGTGTCTCAGGGCAGTATGAGGACAGCCCATGCCCTGGCCGGTGTGGATCGGTTGGAGTATCATCCCATGCACCAAAAAGCCACAGATTGATTCCGGGTCAGGGCACATGCCCAGGTTGGGTGCTGTGCCCCCTACTGGGGTCGTGCAGGAGGCAGCTGATCAATGATTCCCTCTCACTGATGTTTCTCTCCCTCTCCATCTCCCTTCCTCTCTGAAATCAATAAAAAATATTTTTTAAAAATTAAGTCAATCTGCCCTGGCTGGTGTAGCTCAGTTGGTTGAGCATTGTCCCATGAGCCAAAGGGTTCGTGGTTCAATTTCCAGTTAGGGCACAAGCCCAGGTTGTGGGCTTCATCCCCAATAGAGGCTTTGCAGATTCTTTCTCATCATTGATGTTTCTCTCTCTCTCTATCTCTAAAATCAATAAAAAATCTATTTAGAAAATCAAAATAAAAAGTAACTCGGTAAGGCTCCACCCCCATCCTAAGAAGACCCCCCATAGGCGCCCAAGTGGGTTCGTTCCTTCCTCCCAGCCTGGCTTGAGCCCAGCAGGACCGGCTGCGCTGGCGAACTACAACTCCCACTGTGCACCGCGCTGGAGGCTGGGTCCTCGCTGAGGGAACACGAGGGTGTTCCAAAGGCACCTCAAGCAAAAAGAAAAAAAACAAATCACGCACCTTTTCCCCTGCTTTTCCACCTTCACACAGACCTCACCTACAGGAGGACAGATCGTCTTATTTATTAGCAGCGCACGCTGGGAAGCGTATCGAGTCGCTTCTGTCGTCAGGCACGGCAGAGGGCACGCGGAGGCGAGGTCCTCCGGGACTGGCGCGGGGCGGAGCTCGGGGCTGCGAGACTGGGACGCAGGCCGGAAGTGTGCGCGGGAGAAGGCGGGATTTGAGTGTCTGCGGCCGCGCGCTTCCGGCTCGTGCGTCGACGTCAGAGGGCCCCTGGCAGGCTCTTCCCCCGCCGCCTCCCGCTCCCTGCCGGGTCCGAGACCCTCGGTCTCTACGCGTCTCGCCTCCGGCCGTGACGACATGAGCAACAAAGAAGGTGGCGTCTCCCACAGCCCGGGGCGTTATTTACCCAAAGCGGGTGGATCGCCAGGCTTTTTGTAGGATTTCCCCCTCCCCTCCCGAGGGATGCCCTCGCCCCGTGCAGGCCGGGGGGCGGCGGTCCTGGTGACTCCCCCATGTCCTCTCCCCCGCTTCCCCCTCCACCACACACGCACACTGGCCGCAT